TTTTTCCCTTTCCCTTTCCCTTCCTTTCCTCCTCCATCCATCCCCTTCCTCCTCCTTCCTTTCCCTCCTCCATTGGGGTTTAATATAAGTGTCCTTTCCCCCCCCTTCCCCCCCCCCCCCCCCCCCCCCCTCCCTCCCTCCTCCCCTTTTTTTCCAAATAAAAATTTAGCTGATCCTTTCCTTTCCCTCCACTCCCTCCTCCCTCCATCCCTCCTCCTTTATCTTCTTCCTTCCTTCCTCCTTCCTTCCTTCCACCATCCTTCCATCCATCCAGCCATACCATCCATCCTTCCTCCATCCATCCTCCATTCATCCGTCCATGGTTAATATGAAATGCTTCTCCTTCTTCCCTCCATCCATCCACATCTCCTCCATCCATCCATGATAATATCAATGCTATCCATCTTCCTTCCCTTCCCCTCCATCCTTCCTTCCATTCCTTCCTTCCTTCCTTCCTTCCTTCATCCATCCATCCATAGGTTAATATGATCCATGCCGATCCTTCCTTCCTCCTCCCTCCTCTCCATCCATCCATGTGGTTAATATGAACGCTGATCCTTCCTTTCCTTCCTCCACCTCCCTCCTCCCTCCCTCCATCCTCCATCCCTTCCTTCCTTCCTTCCATCCGTCCATGAGGTTAATATGAATCGCTGATCCTCCCTCCTCCTTCCTTCCTTCCATCCATCCATCCATCCGTCCATCCATCCATCCATCCATCCATCCATCCATCCTTCCTTCCTTCCTTCCTTCCATCCGTCCATGAGGTTAATATGAATGCTGATCCTTCCTTCCTTCCTTCCATCCATCCGTCCATCCATCCATGTGGTTAATATGAACGCTGATCCTCCTCCCTCCCCCCCTCCTCATCCAGTGGTTAATATGAACGCTGATCCTTCCTTCCTCCATCCGTCCATGAGGTTAATTGAACGCTGATCCTCCTTCCTTCCATCCGTCCATGTGGTTAATATGAACGCTGATCCTTCCTTCCTTCCTTCCTTTCCTTCCTTCCTTCCTTCCTTCCTTCCTTCCTTCCTTCCTTCCTTCCTTCCTTCCTTCCTTCCTTCCTTCCTTCCTTCCTTCCTTCCATCCATCCGTCCTTCCATCCATCCATCCATCCATCCTTCCTTCCTTCCTTCCATCCGTCCATGAGGTTAATATGAATGCTGATCCTTCCTTCCTTCCTTCCTTCCATCCATCCATCCGTCCATCCATCCATCCATCCATCCTTCCTTCCTTCCTTCCATCCGTCCATGAGGTTAATATGAATGCTGATCCTTCCTTCCTTCCTTCCATCCATCCGTCCATCCATCCATCCATGTGGTTAATATGAACGCTGATCCTCCCTCCCTCCCTCCCTCCCTCCATCCATGTGGTTAATATGAACGCTGATCCTTCCTTCCTTCCATCCGTCCATGAGGTTAATATGAATGCTGATCCTTCCTTCCTTCCATCCATCCATCCATCCATCCATCCATCCATCCATCCTTCCTTCCTTCCTTCCATCCGTCCATGAGGTTAATATGAATGCTGATCCTTCCTTCCTTCCATCCATCCATCCGTCCATCCATCCATCCATGTGGTTAATATGAACGCTGATCCTCCCTCCCTCCCTCCATCCATCCATGAGGTTAATATGAACGCTGATCCTTCCTTCCTTCCATCCGTCCATGAGGTTAATATGAACGCTGATCCTCCCTCCCTCCCTCCCTCCATCCATGTGGTTAATATGAACGCTGATCCTCCCTCCCTCCCTCCATCCATCCATGTGGTTAATATGAACGCTGATCCTCCCTCCCTCCCTCCCTCCATCCATCCATCCATGTGGTTAATATGAACGCTGATCCTCCCTCCCTCCATCCATCCATGTGGTTAATATGAACGCTGATCCTTCCTTCCTTCCTTCCTTCCTTCCTTCCTTCCTTCCATCCATCCATCCGTCCATGAGGTTAATATGAATGCTGATCCTTCCTTCCTTCCTTCCATCCATCCATCCATCCATCCATCCATCCATCCATCCATCCTTCCTTCCTTCCTTCCTTCCTTCCTTCCTTCCATCCTTCCATGAGGTTAATATGAACGCTGATCCTTCCTTCCTTCCTTCCATCCGTCCATGAGGTTAATATGAACGCTGATCCTTCCTTCCATCCATCCATCCATCCATCCATCCATCCATCCATCCATCCTTCCTTCCTTCCTTCCTTCCATCCATCCATGAGGTTAATATGAACGCTGATCCTTCCTTCCTTCCTCACCTCCCTCCCTCCCTCCCTCCCTCCCTCCCTCCCTCCATCCATCCATGTGGTTAATATGAACGCTGATCCTTCCTTCCTTCCTTCCTTCCTTCCTTCCTTCCATCCATCCATCCATCCATCCATCCATCCATCCATCCTTCCTTCCTTCCATCCGTCCATGAGGTTAATATGAATGCTGATCCTTCCTTCCTTCCTTCCATCCATCCATCCATCCATCCATCCATGTGGTTAATATGAACGCTGATCCTTCCTTCCTTCCTTCCTTCCTTCCTTCCTTCCCTCCTTCCATCCATCCATGAGGTTAATATGAACGCTGATCCTCCCTCCCTCCCTCCCTCCCTCCCTCCATCCATCCATGTGGTTAATATGAACGCTGATCCTTCCTTCCTTCCTCACCTCCCTCCCTCCCTCCCTCAATCCCTTCCTTCCTTCCTTCCTTCCTTCCTTCCATCCATCCATCCATCCATCCATCCATCCATCCATCCATCCATCCATCCATCCTTCCTTCCTTCCTTCCTTCCTTCCTTCCTTCCTTCCTTCCTTCCTTCCTTCCTTCCTTCCTTCCTTCCTTCCTTCCTTCCTTCCTTCCTTCCTTCCTTCCTTCCTTCCTTCCTTCCTTCCTTCCTTCCATGTCCCTCCAGTTCATAGGTCAGTGTTATAAGAGAAATAATATAAGAGAAAATGGAAGAAAAGATAAAAATGATGCTTAGAACAGGGATGTATTCATCCATTTAGTCGGTCAAAATGATGAACATAATTATAACTCACCTAAAATAGAAAAGTCTAAATTAAATTTGTACATTTTGACCTACAGCGAGAATGAACTATGTTTCAGTATGTCCAGTCTAAAAGGAGTTCAACATTGTTTAAATCTAGTAATGTGCATCTTAAATCTTTTCCTTCTTCTTCCAGGTGTTTGCTGAACTCTTTGACCCGGTAATCAAAGACAGACACAATGGCTACGACCCCAGAACCATGACGCATCCCACCGACCTCGATGCCTCTAAGGTTGCAGCACAACCTCACTTATTCTGTTTCCCTCCCTAGACCCATAAAACCCTCATCAGTATTTTTGTTTTCTCTTTCCTCCCTCTACCTCCAGATAAAACACGGGATGTTTGATGAGCACTATGTTCTGTCATCCCGCGTGCGGACAGGCCGCAGCATCCGTGGGCTGAGCCTCCCTCCGGCCTGTTCCAGGGCCGAGCGTCGTGAGGTGGAGCGGGTCGTAGTGACCGCTCTGGCTGGACTAAAGGGAGACCTCGCTGGGCATTACTACAGCCTGGGAGATATGACGGAGAAAGAGCAACAACAGCTTATTGATGTTAGTCACTGACGGAGCGGGGATGGGACTAATCATCTTCTCTTTTTTTGTTTTTATTTTGTAATTTAAAGCTAAATTAGGGAAAGGTTATTGGATAAAATTCGAAATCCAAGAAGGCAAGAACATTCTTAAGGGATTCCAGAGAAAGGTTGTCCTTGTGCTAATTAGGGGTGTTATAAATAGGCCTAATAGTTTTTATCACATATCGCAATATGTCATTAGATATTTGTTCTGATTCAAATATGGGGGAATGGTTCTTAAATGTAAAAAAAATATCAGTTTCAAGGTCTTACTTTAATATAACTTAATTTTTGCATATAATCCTTAAAGTCGTAAAGAAATCATATTAAAATTTCCAATCAATCTGGCTTAAACATTATATAAATGTACCAAAAGTTAGAAAATTTCTATTCTTAAAAAATCATGTCTTGAAATCAGTTTTTTTCCGTTATCTTATGCAGGCCAGTTAGTTATACGTCAGCCTGAACACCTAAATTCGGCCAATCATATATCAACGCTCATCTGTCAATCAAATTTTGACTCATAGGTTGTAGCTAATATACGGAACGGTTTAAATCAGAATAATTTCCTTTCCCATTGAGTTCCGTCCCAGTGTTCACGGGGATGGATGTCTGTGTCTTCAGCGGGCGTAGAGCTAACAGAACTGGCAGCGTTGCGAGGCAAGGCCTCAAACATGTATGGCTGTAAAGGCTGATTTATACCTCGAAACCAGGTCGTCTGCGTAGGAGTCGCATTGAACAAAAAGACGTCCCCACCCCCTCTGCAGACACTCCGCTGCACCTCTCCCAAATTGAACTGACCGCAGACAGTAGCCCGGCTTGTTTTGTTTTTATGACCGCCATTGCGCAAAACAACTCGAGACAACTTGGACCCATTTTCCTCCTGGATCCCTACTATTTTTCGCCATCATGTCCCTCCGTTGTTGCACAAACTCACCCCCACTTCCTCACCGCCTCGGCCGTATCTAGACCCACAGCGTATAGCACAGACCACGCTCCAGATTTAGCATAAATCAAAAATGTCTGCCTCAACCTCGCTGCAACACACTGCTGCGGTGAGTATAACCAGCCTTTAAACCTTCTACACCAAACCAAGCTTCTGCCGCCATGACGTCCTCTTCCACAAATCCTCACTTTCGTCCTCTAAATAAAAACTGTCGGGAAAGAATCAGGAGGTGGTAATGAGAGGCTGATCACCCCTCGTTACGCCCTGTACACCACACGGCGCACGATCAGGCTGAAAGACGGCCCCGTCAAAAATTTTTCGCATGACCGGAAAGTCGGCCTGCAAAACATCGTACAGTGTAAGCCCGGCTTAAAAGTAGAACTAAGGGATTCTTTACTCCATAGAAAGTAGTTATCCAAGTAATAGTAAGAGTAAAAAGAATACTTGAAAAGCATCAACTCAAGAGTAGTGTTGCGCCAATGCCATTTTTTGGACAATACGTGGCTGTGCAGTATTGGCCGATACCGATACAATCTGTTTTAAATTGATGTGTGTGTATATCTGAAAAACTGCATCCTACTTGAATGTAAAATAATTCCCGTCATGGCTTTGTCAAGCTGCTGCCTACCTTTGTGAAGCAGGAAAAAGACTAATACAAAGTGAATCCAGTAGAACTTTTCATTGCTTACCTGGAATGGGTGACAACAGTTGAATAAACTTTTGGCTCTCTAAAAGGTATCGGTGCCCTGTTGGTTGGTACTCACAGATACCAAGGCCACCATTTTAGTGCTGGATCGGGGCCCCGCCCGATACTGGTATCAGAATCTGTACAACACTACTCAAGAGCTTCTGTTAGGTGTGTCCTGATACAACCTTTTCCTTCCTAATACAATATTTGCAACTTTGATTATTGTCTGATATTGACCCGTTACAATAGCAGCACCGATCATTTCTAATTTATTACTAATATTATAATGATGCAAATCAGAAAAGGCTGGATTAAAGGACGTTTCTCAAGCAGATAATCATCAATTAAAAACGGACCCCACCTCGGCCTCTCCGGGTTAATTTGGAGTGAAATGCGCAAACAGGTCTAAAAACAGGCAATCATTTCTAAAAATAACTATAAATGAGCAGGCAATCAAGAGGGGTTGTCAAAGAAATTTGTATATTTGTTCTTAAAATAAGATAAGTATAAATTGTAAACGTGAAATAAGTTTGTATTTTTTCTTATTGTAAGCTAATCATTTTTATTGAATTTTGCAAATTAAAGAAAAAAACAAAATAATTTAGATTTATATTTTTTAGTAGGGGGGGGGGAATCCCTCAACCTGCTGATTCCAAGCCTGACAGATGAAGTAAAACGCAGCTCCATTAGGGTAAATAAAGCATTTCAGTCTCTCTCTGCCAACTAAATAAAACCTTTTTATCTGCAGGATCATTTCCTGTTCGACAAGCCTGTGTCTCCATTATTGACATGCGCCTTCATGGCCAGAGACTGGCCGGATGCCAGGGGGATCTGGTACGTTCATCCCCACCGTCTGTGACTTTTCCATCATCCTAATACTTAGAGGAATTTAACATTTTTTTCTGTTGACGTTTGGTGCGTGCAACATTTAGCAAATTAATAGTAAAGATAAAACTGCATTGATGAGCACTGGAGGCAAGAAGGCATCAAAATGATGGTTTGATGCAGGGAGAGTTATTGGTTACGTTTCTGTGGCTGCTTGTCCTCAGGCACAACAACGACAAGACCTTCCTAATCTGGATTAATGAGGAGGACCACACCAGAGTCATCTCCATGGAAAAGGGAGGCAACATGAAGAGAGTGTTTGAGAGATTCTGCAACGGCCTCAAACAGGTTTGTTGGATTTAAACATCATGATCAAACCTGGTACTTAGTTGGTAAAGCTTCACACGTCACTTTTTGAGTTTTATTTCAGTGTTTTTTTCTTTAATGCGCATTGTAAAAGGTGTGTATGTGTTGGTTGAAAGGTGGAGCATCTGATCCAAGAGAGGGGCTGGGAGTTCATGTGGAACGAGCGTCTGGGGTACATCCTCACATGCCCCTCCAACCTGGGGACCGGCCTCCGGGCGGGGGTGCATGTCCGCCTGCCCAAACTCAGCCAGGTGAGTCCTTCTGATACACCCACTTTATCTTTCAGTAGAACTATCACTTGTGCTTATGTCTGAGGTTCTTATCCACATCATTTAAACAAAACTTGGTAAATAATTAGAGGTGTCAAGTAACAAAGTACAAATACTTCATTACTGTACTTAAGTACACTTTTTAGGTGTCTATACTTTACTCCATTACTTATTTTTCTTCCTACTTCTGACTTATACTCATTACATTTTCACACAAGTATCTGTACTTTCTACTTCTTACATTTTTGAAACAAACGTTACTCTTCGCTTCAGTTTAATGTTTATAAACATTTATTTCACGTCATGTGCTCCATCCAATGCAGACCATTGGCTTCATCCACATATAGTGAAAACTAGTGTGATTGGATGAGTCATGTAATGCAAACACTCATTGGTTAGCTAAAGGAAATCATCAGAAGCAAGCAGGTGTTCTTCAAACTGCTAACGTGAATGGTCTATGCCATGCTACAATGTAGGATTCAGAAAAAGATGTTGAAATGTCTGAAAGGTCGGACACAGGCGAGAGCGTATCGGGAGACAGAGACCAACAAGACCTCCCTCATCCTTGGCCCTATCTCAAAGAATTTTTAGAAATAGTCGAAAAATTGAGCTTTCAATTCATAAAGTGACATCTTGCTGTTTTTTTTACAGGTCATTTTATACTTTTATACTTTAAGTAGTTTTTGGAGCACATACGTTTTTTACTTTTACTTGAGTAAAGAGGTCAAGTTGATACTTTTTACCAGAGTGTTTTTAAACTGCAGTATCTATACTTCTAGTTAAGTAACAAATGTGTTTACTTTTGTCACCACTTTGACACCAACAATTTATGGTTTCAAGAACTTTCCGACTGTTGAACAAAGGTAAGTGACCTGCTGTAATCCATGTTAAAATTACCCTTTAAATTAGAGAAAAATGGCACTAATTATGGTGCATACTAAAATTATACAAAAAAGGGACCAAAAAGCCTGTATTATAAAACAGAATAGGATAGAAATCCCCTTAATGTCCTACAATGGGGAATTCTGGTGTTTACATATGCTGGTGAAGATTCTCAGTCATCCAGGTCATTGTCATTCCAAAAGAAGAAAATAAAAAACAATCCACTGGACTTTGTTTCCAAGTTTGAAACTTTCAAACTTGGAAACAAATCCCAATGGATTGTTTTAATTTTGCATATGGCGCATTTGTTTGATACTCCTGATCTTTACAAAGCTCCAGATCTGAAACTGAGAACAGCAATTCCCAAAGAGTTTACTGGATTTATGTCTGGCCCGTTCCAGCATGATGTTTTTATTCTAGTGTTTTGGAGCCTCTGTTCTCCTGTACATTGATCTTTAGCCCCCAGCATCATGCTGCCACATTGGGTTTGTCTCTTTATATATGAGGATTTCTTTTCCTCTCCTTTATGGATTGGTTTATTTTTTTAAAATACTAGACACCCACAAAGAAATGAAAAACTCAAAACCACTGCATTGTGTTATGCTTTTAGTTATTTAGCCTCAAGCATCACAGAATGTTGAACCTTTTTTTATGTTTTGTGTGTCACCCTTTGCTCTGCAGGATCCACGCTTTTCTAAAATCCTCGACAACCTGCGGCTGCAGAAGCGAGGCACTGGCGGTGTGGACACAGCCGCAACCGGGGACACCTTCGACATTTCCAACCTCGACCGTCTGGGCAAATCTGAGGTAAGCCTCCAGTTTCTGTTTCTGTCATCTACAGGCTTAATCCCTTTCAAGGTATGGAGTGAACTTGGTTCCATTATTGCTGCTAGCAAAGAACAGTTTGTGAATGGAAGTTGAAATAAAATGTGATCCAGAAATGCACATTTGTAAAAAGGTACAATCAGAAAAGGTTTTTGACTGACATTGCTTTTTTTTCCTTATACAGATGTTATTTAAAAAATTGTAAAACATTTTACTTGTTGAAATCAATGTCGAGAGCTCCGGCTCTCAAATATAGTGAAATTATAAAATCTACAAAAATGTGAAAAAAAAGATCTGCAAACAAAAATGGGAAAAAAAAATTCGGAGAAAAAACAAAAAACATTTGTAGGGTAACTTTGCCAAGTTTTATTTCTTTACTATTATTCAAATATCACTTTACTAAACATTGTCTTTGGTTGCAATAATAATGGAAGAAATTTCACTCTATATGGGTGTATCTATATGGTATATCCATATAAGAATAAAGTACAATGCAAATATAATGAAATTTAAAAAATCTACCAAAATGTGAAACAAATTTGTTTTAATTATCTGTAAAAAAAAAAAAATGTTGGAAAAAAATGTTTTGGGAAAACATTTTTTTGAGAAATTTAAATGTTTTTAATAAAAAAAAAAAAAATGTTGTCAGAGTAACCTAACTTTTAATCAAATTTCAGTTTAGAAAATGTTTTTGGTTGCAACAATAATGGAATAAATTTCACTCTATATGGTTGTATCTATATGGTATATCCATATAGATATGAAGTGCAATGCAAATATAAAGAAATGATAAAATCTACAAAAAATTGAAAAAAAAAAACATTTTTATTACGTGTGAAAAAATTTGGAAAATCATTTTTTTGGGGGAAAAAATACTGAGAAACCTTAATGTTTTTATAAAAAAAAATGTTTCTAGAATACCTTTGCCAAGGTTTCTTTCCTGACCATTATTCAAATTTCAGTTTACAAAACTTTGTCTGTGGTTGCAACAATAATGGAAGACATTTCCCTCAATATAGGTATAACTATATGGTATATCCATATAGGCATAAACTACAGTGTACATATAATGCAATTTTAAAATCTACAAAAATGTGAAAAAAAAACATTATCTGTGAAAACAAATGTCGGAAAAAACTTTTTTTTGGAAAAAAAAAAATTCTGAGAATTTAAATGTTTTTAATAAAAAAGGTTTTTTTAAGTAAGTTAACAATTATTCAACTTTCAGTTTAGAAAACGTTTTTGGTTGCAACAATAATGGAATAAATTTGACTCCATATTTGGCAGCAGAAGTGAGGTCTCCTGTTCTTTGTTTAGGTGGAGCTTGTTCAGCTGGTGATCAACGGAGTCAACTACCTGATCGAGTGCGAGAAGAAGTTGGAAAAGGGTCAGGACATCACGGTCCCAGCTCCGCTCGTCATGTTCAAGAAGTGAGAGCCGAACTCGCGGGCGCTTTTAGCGGGAGACCCGGCGGGATGGGAGAACCTTGGCACTAGGAGGTTGATGTCCGTCTCAAAGATTGTGACTCTTCAGGGTAAAAAGATCTTCGACATGACCTGCAGAAAGTCTACCTCAAGTAACGGCTTACCCTGACTTCAATAAAAAAAAAAAATATATTCAACAAGTTGACTGGTTTCACTTTGTTACACAACATTATTCTCTTAAGAGATTTCTTTCATTCAGATTCGCCAGCTTTAATTAATCAGTGTCACTTTGTGGAGGAGGCCAAAAGAGGTGGAAATATTTTATTTAGAAGGAATATTCTCCTAAAAATACAAAATAAGAATGATTTAAATGACACCTGAACATTGCTGCGAGGTCGTTATCTGTAACAAACTTATTCCAACTAGCAGCAGAAGGTGGATGGTGAGAAAGGAGGAGGCTGTTGATGCTGCTGATAAAAGAAAAGACGTAAATAAGAACATTGTAAGGGAGAAAATTCAACATTCAGGTGAGCACTTTTTAATTGTTTAATTTAACCTTCAGGATGCCACCTCACACAATTTGTTGGGTTTTTTTTCTAAAAAGAAATCAGTAGAAAGAAGTGAAAATAAACAAACCAAAAAGATGACACCTGGAGGCCGGAAGCTGCCTACTCACCAAAAAAGTCCTGCTTTTTTTCTTTTTCTTAGTTTTTTTTTTTTTTTTGGTAAAGTGGAACAGAAAAACGAGCCTCTAATAAAAGACTGGTTGGAGAGAGTGCTAAACATCGCAGGTACATGAGAACGGGGCGTCTTTGTGGGAGGCGGGGCTGAGAACAGAGAGTCAGGCTGGGTTATTCGGTCAGGAAACAGAACAGAGGCTAACGGGTGCGCGGGGCAGTGTTGTGTCATCAGTCTACAGGTCGCTTTTCACTGTGTTTCTTTGTGAACTCTTCGGCATTCTTCATGAATTTCGCGCGGTCCTTAGTGTACTCCTCCGCCAGGTCCGCCCTGCTCCGGCTGGGGGGCGTTCACCAGCGCAATCAGACACTGAATCACTGCAGGGGATAAGGAAACAAACGTTAGAGAGCTGCGTCGTCAGCAGCAGACGCCTTCCCGCCTTCTCTACCCACCTTGGCACGTTTTTGTAGCCGGCTTCCAGTTTTCCACGCTGATGATGGGCAGGCACACCTGGCCCTTCTCGTCGATGTTGGGGTGGTAGATCTTTGTCTTGAAGGTGATCTTAGGGGGTTTAAAGGGATACTCTGCAGGGAAGATGATCTCGATCCGAAAGGCTCCTTTGTCATAAGGAGGACAGTCCTTTAAGAAAAAGAAAAAAAAGGAAGACACAGATATTAATGAGAGCTTTGTTTATTTCAATGCATTTATTTTAGAACTAATAAAAATCTAATGACCGTTTACTCTGAGGAAGTTACTGCAGAAATTGTGTTAGATAAACCTTCTGTCTGGTGCTATTTTCTGACTTTAATGCCATCAATGTGGCATAAAAAAATTCTTTTTTTTTAAACGAAGAATTTTGCTGTGTGTATACAGGTGCTGGTCATAAAATTAGAATATCATGAAAAAGTAGATTGATTTCAGTAATTCCATTTAAAAAGTGAAACTTGTATATTATATTCATACATTACATACAAACTCATATATTTCAGATGTTTATTTTGTTTAATTTTGATGATTACAAATGACAACAAATGAAAATCTCAAATTCATCATATCAGAAAATTAGAATATTACTGAAGACCAATAAAAACAAAGGATTTATAGAAATGTTGGCCAACTGAAAAGTATGAACATGAAAAGTATGAGCATGTACAGCACTCAGTATTTAGTTGGGCCTCCTTTGGCCTGTATTACTGCAGCAATGCGGCGTGGCATGGAGTCGATCAGTCTGTGGCACTGCTCAGGTGTTATGATAGCCCAGGTTGCTCTAATAGTGGCTTTTAGCTCTTCTGAATTGTTGGGTCTGGTGTATTGCATCTTCTTCTTCACAATACCCCATAGATTTTCTATGGGGTTAAGGTCAGGAGAGTTTGCTGGCCAATTAAGAACAGGGATACCATGGTCCTTCAACCAGGTACTGGTAGCTTTGGCACTGTGTGCAGGTGCCAAGTCCTGTTGGAAAATGAAATCTGCATCTCCAAAAAGTTGGTCAGCTGCAGGAAGCATGAAGTGCTCTAAAACTTCCTGGTATGTGGCTGCGTTGACCCTGGACCTCAGAAAACACAATGGACCAACACCAGCAGATGACATGGCACCCCAAACCATCACTGACTGTGGAAACTTTACACTGGACTTCAAGCAACGTGGATGAAGTGCCTCTCTTCTTTTCCTCCAGACTCTGGGACCTTGATTTCCAAAGGAAATGCAAAATTTACTTTCATCAGAGAACATGACTTTGGACCACTCACCAGCAGTCCAGTCCTGTTTCTCTTTAGCCCAGGCAAGACGCTTCTGACGCTGTCTGTGGTTCAAGAGTGGCTTGACACAAGGAATGCGACAGCAGAAACCCATGTCTTTCATACGTCTGTGTGTGGTGGTTCTTGAAGCACTCACTCCAGCTGCAGTCCACTCTTTGTGAATCTCCCCCACATTTTTGAAGGGGTTTTGTTTCACAATCCTCTCCAGGGTGCGGTTATCTCTCTTGCTTGTACACTTTTTTCGACCACATCTTTTCCTTCCCTTCGCCTCTCTATTAATGTGCTTGGACACTGAGCTCTGTGAACAGCCAGCCTCTTTAGCGATGACCTTTTGTGTCTTGCCCTCCTTGTGCAAGGTGTCGATGGTCGTCTTTTGGACAACTGTCAAGTCAGCAGTCTTCCCCATGATTGTGTAGCCTATAGAACTAGACTGAAAGACCATTTAAAGGCTTTTGCAGGTGGTTTGAGTTAATTAGCTGATTAGAGTGTGGCACCAGGGGCCATCAATTTTGAACCTTTTCACAATATTCTAATTTTCTGATATGATGAATTTGAGATTTTCATTTGTTGTCATTTGTAATCATCAAAATTAAACAAAATAAACATCTGAAATATATGAGTTTGTATGTAATGTATGAATATAATATACAAGTTTCACTTTTTAAATGGAATTACTGAAATCAATCTACTTTTTCATGATATTCTAATTTTATGACCAGCACCTGTATATACACACAGCAAAATCCTTCGTCATCTTCACTTTGGACAGGCTGCAGCCGTGTCCTGAGTTCCTCGTTTTCCTGTCACTTTGGTTCAAATTTGCATTTTTCCCCGTTCTCTAGCCTTTTCTCCGCCTTAAGCTTCTTTTCCGAAGCATTTTAATACCACAATTATCAAATTTAATGACTTTCAATGCCAATAAAGGCCTTAATTTAAAGAATAATAATTTAATGACTTTTAATGTCATTAAATTAAGGCCTTAATTTAAAGAATAATAATTTAATGACTTTTAATGACCTGCGGAAACCCTGATATATATAAAGGATATACTTATATCCTTTTGTCATCTTTGTCCCAAATTCACGATGAACCAGAAGCAGTTCTGTGCAACCAAGTGGAATCTGATATAATATATGTGACGAAATTATGTATTTTTTTATAAACCTTTTTTTTTAAATAAAGCATTTTAAATGCCACAATAATCAAATTTAATGAATTTTAATACCAATTAAGGTCTTAATCTAAAAAAAATAATAATTTATATATATATATATTTATATGATTTTTAATGACCCGTGGAAACCCTGAATATATGTGTATTGATTACATCGTTATGGTAATTACATTCGATTACAGGCATTTTTATGGCGTGACTCCATGAAAATGGGGGGGGGGTACCAAGATGGCGGCAGGTGATTAGATTTTTTTTTTCGATCTATCAGCGATCCAGTAAATAGAGATCAGTGCTTTCTCCTCCCTTCTGGGTGGCATAAGCACCTTTTAACATAGCATCACCTAAAGGGCTGGAGTGGGAAAGTTGAAGAATTTGTTTTGTTCAATGTAAGATGATGGAATACTGGGGGAAAAAAATTACAATTCGAAATTAAATCTGAGACAATTGAAGAAATGTTTCATGGTGTTATTTCTAGATTTCCTTTTTTTCCCCAGATTTCTATTGACAAAACTGTTCTTTGATCTGCACGATAATGGAAGAAATGTCACCCCATTCATATCTGAGCAATCTACACATTTAAGAACAAAAATATGAAATTTATTGGCGCTTGTCTCTCTTGAAAAGGGTACAAATTCCTTTCTAAGGCTTCAGAACTCCAGAGAACCACAGTAAGAGCCGTTATATAGGAGAGATCGGAGAACCTCCTGAATGTAAAGCACAGCTGGTGCCACTGATCTCAGTCAAAGTCAGACTTCAACAATAAGAGAGAAAACTGAGATGAAATCTTGAATTAATGTCGAAAACCAAGACCAAAGCCACCGTTTGCCATCTGATCCTAAAGACCTTAGAGTGAACTCCATTGTTTTAGAAAGATCAAGCATTGGGGTTATTCTGGGATTCAGAAAGCAGGGTAACTAGTTAATAAATGCTTTTTAACAACTTTATGGATAGAGAGCTGACCTCTAACCGGGATGGTTGCGCTCTAAAATCCTCCCCTATGTTGGTAAAGACTCATCTCCACTTATCACAACCACTAAAATGAAAGCGTTCCCTTCAAACAGCTGCTTGGTTTACAGGAAAACAAGTTTTCATACTGGAATTACTTTTTTTCCCTTGAGAAATCTAACCTTTGTACTCGCTTTGTTAATATCTAATCTAGAAATGTATTTAAACGTTTAAGAGCAACGCCTCAGTGAATGCTTTAAACAAAGGTGTATAATTCCGCCTCTGCTCTGGGTTTCAATAACATCTCATCCTAATTATGTTTCCTTTAAAAACAGACTGAAACCGTTTTAATGCTGGTGAAGGTTCTCAGTCATCCAGGTCATAGTCATTCAAAAAAAAAAAAAAGTTAAAAACAATCCACTGGACTTTGTTTCCAAGTTTGAAGATGTTCCTCTTCTCGTCCAGGAAGATTTTCAGTTCAAAATGTCAGGAATAGTGTTGAGTTCCAGGTTTTTTACAGCAGCCCAACAAAGCCTTGTTTTTATTTAAAAAACATGCAAATTAAAACGGATGAACGGGTCAACCCCTTTGGAATCGGGGTCGTTTGGCTTTTTTTGTTAGTCTGCAATGCCCCGTACCA